TCTTGAGCCTGGAGGAGGTGATGCTTGAATATTAACCAGCTTTCTTGGACCCCCCTTCCTTCTAGAGCCCTACCCCATGAGATTCCTCCAAGTAGGTCCCTGAAGAGGCCAAAGTTTGTATGAGTCAACTGAAAAGGATACAGCCTTCTGCCAGCATGAGGACTGGCTCAATTCAAATTTCTTATATTGTATATCTAGCTTAGTAACAAAAGTATAGAGAGGTGATTGGGATCTCTCTCGAGACATAACACAGAACAGGTTCCTTCTTAAGAAAGTGGGACATAATGTGTAGTTTTGGCTGTCTGTACTTGGGGCAATCATAGGGGCTCCCTTCTAAAGTAGAACTTTCTAAACTAGAACTAGGAATTGCTGTTAATGTTGCTCACTTGCTTCTTGGCTGCAGTATAAGGAAGAATTCACAGAGGTCCGTAGTCCAGGACACATACCATTCATCTGCCCCTATGTGTGGAGCCCTCACTGAGGATGTCTCCAGTTCCTGGCCTGTGGGAGAGCATTTTTCCATCAGGTCTGCTCTGTTTCCTGGTGGGGACCGTTTCCTGTGTGCTCTGGCCTTCTCATGGCCTGGCAGCTCCCGCGTGGGGCTCTGGGCATCCAGCTGGAGCCCACGGCATCACACTAAGCACTGTCATTGCTCTCCACAAGGAGAAAGTGAGGCTATCTGGAAAAGGCTCTTTCAGAAAACATGCAAACGGAGGAAAATAAGCCTAGCCTCAATCCACGAGCAGTCTTAAAGGATAATATAGGCTTCTTTTAACTCATTGATATGTCAATATTTTTATTTTAGAGGTTATGGCAAAAAGAAATAAGTTTTAATTTTAATTAAGTGTATGTTTATGCTTTACAGTAGAAAGCTGCTTGATTATCAGTGAGTGTTGCCAAACTAACAATTTAGGAATTAAAAGAAATAGCCTAGCCTTCTCTATTTTTTAGTTTCAAGCATTAGTCCCCTAGACAAAAATATGGAGATATATAAAGATAAAAACTTAGTTACAAATGTCAAAGCTATGATCATAATCTGGAAAAATAATTATACTATTTTTAATAAAAGAATCAAAGGAAATAAAATGTATTGGAAAATAACCACGGCAGGATTTTCAGGAATTTTTTCAAGAAAATAATATTGTTTTGCTACACTGAGTAAAATAATAAAATTAGAGAAAAACTAATATCAGTGAACATCTTTGCTGAATTAATAGTACTACAGCTAACATTTGCCACACCAGGAAAGCTGCTCTGGCAAGACAACACTGCGTTAGGCTTTGTCAACTGGGGTGAAGGACAACCTTCAGATGATCAGCTTGATTACTGCACAGAACTGTCTGCGGCCTCTGGGTCCTGGAGTATCATTCCTTGCTCTTCCCAAAGGGGTTTTATTTGTAAGAAACCAAAGAGTAAGTGGCTTCTTTAGTATTTGCTTTTGACATTTACAGTTCTGTTTTAGTAGTAGTAACACAATATGGTCATTTTGAAAAGAGCTACATTATATATCACATAAAATGCTGTATTTATAAACTTTTCCTTAACACCACACCTGTTTACAGGATTCAGCTAAAATAATATGTATATAGAAAGTTATCTTTTCTCTGGTCTCCTCTGTCTGTGTTTTATTGCTTCGTAACTTCAGATGTTCTTGCATTCTGTAATCAATATTTAAATAATAACAAAAATGATCAGTATTTTCTGGAAAATTTTTAAACTCCTTTTTTGATTTTGCTCCCCCCCAACATATACACACTTTTTCCTGCCAACATTCCTATTCCCTTTTTATGGAATAAGGGTTGCCTCAATAATTTGCTTTTCTTCCTCTTGCTGTGCTATGATACATGCTGTTCCAGTGAAGGATGGATGAAGCAATTCCATTTAAATAATAACAGAACGGAAGCATGATCCAGAGCTTGTATAGTGACCTTTGAAAAATAGTAGAAGCGTTTTGGTTAACATTTATTTTTTTTAATATTGTGTTTCTGTGCAACTGTGCACCATCTGCTTTGGTCAGGAAGTAGAAATATCAGAATATCATGAGCCAAGCAGCCATGTGGTATTTTTGAGTTGAACTGTAATTCTGCAGAAAAGTATGATTTCCTGTCCTGTTTCACAATCCAAAGGTTCTGAATGCTTTGAGGTTCTCTTATGCTCTGTCCTTTCTCCTACCAGAGCAAGTAACTAGTGGAGAAAGCAGAGTTCACCTACATACTGGCATTACAGCATTTTCTGAAAAACAAAATTCTCCTTTTAGGGCAATTTCTAATTTTATTTGGGTGGCTAGAGCAATATGCTTTACAGATTTTACAGCTATTTTTTTTTTGTCACTAGACATTTCAGAAAGCACAAACTCATCATCAACATATACTTTAGTTATCTGGGTTTGCTTGTGACTGCCCCCACGTGCAATGTCAAAGCGTGGAGTGTATTCCCTGACACCCAGCTCTCCAACAGAAAGATTTTTCAGAGTGAGTGAACGTTACATTGCAGTGAGTTCTGCACCCTTCCAAGGGACAATTTAAGAGGTGCATTCCCTCAGTGCTCATGAGCACGCCAGCGTTTTGTGCGTTGCGGTACTTCTGATGGAACAGCAGGCTCTTCGTGGCTTCCTGCTGCGCTGAAGCGTGCACTCTGCCTCTCCGTGTGGTTCCCACGGCCCATACTGAAAATCTGTTCTGGCATTCGCAGTGATCCAACTTGCCCCCAGCTGCTGCTCAGCGAGCAGTGAAAAATAGTGCAGACGGCGCCCTCTTTACACAGCAAGGAAAACTGCATACGAAAGCTTGAACTTAGAAAAGTAGCTATAGGTGCAAACGAAGTATGATACATCAAAAATCTACTGGGTCTCAGAGGAACTGTGTGTAGTAGAGGACAACTAGAAAAAATCCGCAGCATTTCATCAAGTTGTTCCCAGTCTCCTCTCACCCTAACACTTAGGTAGTTCCTGTGTAGGAAACACCGGCTGGCATGGGGAACCAGTAAGGAGGGCAAGATTTGTTAGCAAGAGTGGCAGAGACAGTCCTTCTACCCCAGTCAGAAACTACTTGTGCTTGGAGATTACTTGGTTATCAATAAAGGAGCAAGAAGCAGGCTTTAATATGCAAAACACCATAGTTTCATTGCAGTGAATATCATCAGGTTAAGATCAATCGCATCTCTTCATCCCTGCCAGATTAGCAAATGTGTTTCCAGAAGTGATGTGCATCATCACTTGCTTTGCTGACCATGTAACTGTAGGGATGAAAATGTGAGCTTTTAAGATTCGGACTGAACATTTTTCATTATCTCTGACAGCTATTCTTAAAGTAACTTCAGTAACTCCAGCAAACGTGAAAGGTAGGCACTTCTTTTCCTTCTGATAGTTTAAAAAAGAAATGAAAATATTTTTTTTATTAATTGGTATTTATAATTTAATTGATTTTTATATATTTATTTATATTCACTTCATTTATTTAGTTGCCATTGATTTCAGCCCCAGCGTGATTTAGCAGAACCTATGGGATACTTATGGCACCCCAGGACGACATCCCATAACTAAATGCATTGATAAACAGATCATTCCGTCTTTGCTCCTTCTTTCACATGCTACAGTCCATGAGGGGACTGACATAGAGGCACCAAGGTAGATTTTTAAGAGAACTCTCATTCTGAAAAAGCATGGGAGACTATCTGCATCTTAATGGTCATATCTTCTTCGCCTATGGTCCTACCCTTGCCCTAACAGAACGATGGAAGAAGGCAGGGAGATGCTGAGGTTATACCCCATTGTCTTCATAAATGGTTCTAGAATCGTAAATGTAAATGAGGGGAAAATTAGACAAATAATTTTTGTTAGTCTTCATATTTATTTATGGCTATAGTGGACCCACTTTTACTTGCATTGTATTTATTTACAGATGCCAAAAAGGACAAGCCACATGGTCACAGCACAATTTGGATGCTACTTGCTCTGGTCCTCTTTATTTTAGTAGGAATGAGCTTCATGGTTTATTTCCTATTCAAGATCAAAAAACAAAGTGAAACTCAGAGAGAGGTGAGGCAGTGCAGCACACTGCTAGAATACAGCAATGCTCTAACTGGAGTGGGCGATAAAAGTGATTCTACCCACGACAAAGGAAAAAGTGAACACAGTGTTGTCTAATGTGACAGTTACACTACGTACTTAAACTTAAAAATAACCTAACTACAACAAATGAAATCCTAGTAAAAGTTACATGCACCTAACACATACTGTACATATTAAAAGTAACAATTATTTCTTTGGTAGGGGATAAGTGCTATTGCTCTATGCTGTTTAAGAAATATTTACAGGACTAAGACTCAGGGTACTGTATAGGATAGCTAATTAAGCATGTCGAGCAAATAGGAGACCTAGTGAGAGTTTAAACTCACAATGTACAGATTAATGCTCTAGTGTTCTCACTTTTTAGACATCTGTGCCACCGTCACGTACAGAATCAAGTACAGATATATAGTGAACATTCTGCAAAGCACACAGCTCCAAAGCCTGCACTTTCAGCATATGTCACACTCAAATACAAAAAGTGCATCCTGTTACTTCAGTCAAATGGTGTTTGAAGTATCTAGAGATTTACAAGAATTGTTCTTCCCCATTATTGCCCCTGTATTACACTCTTTCTTGCTCAAAGTTTGGATGCAAAGTATGCAAAAATATCTTAAAGATAATATTATATGTCAATTGAAAAAGCTTCCTTGTCATAATATTATAGCTATAAGTTAAATGTAAATAACTGTCCTTTATTGATGGCTTCAGCTTGGATCTCGCAAAAGAAGTAAATGTTGCAAAGCACTTGGTCATATTCTATGACTTTGAATATTTGTATCAATTATGGAAATGAAAATATATAAATAAAGGATCTATATGTTACATAATACTTCAGTACTGATGAATTAGCGTACAGAGATGTTAAACAGCTGGTGATCAAATGAGTCATTTATCTTAAGAGAGATAACAGGAGGAAACACAGAAACTTGAACATGGCATCTGACTAAAAAGAAACATAAATAAAATATAAAATAAAATGAGTGTCAAATAAAGCTGAAATAATCCTTTCTCATTTTTACTTCACTTGGCTGTTCATTTCTGGATGCCTCCTCCCCATCCTCCAGCTCTCTGATAACTGGACTAACAACTGCACCCTGTATCAATGCTGCAAATGAGGTGGCATGGGCCAGTATGGCAGTGGGGCAAAAAAAATGTGTCTTGTTATGTGCTGCTTTACAGGTTTTCTGGACTGATTCAGCTTTCTATAAATGCTATGCTGTCTATGCTAAACTGGAAAAAAAATCTCAAGGACCCATGGAAAAAAAAGACTCTAAAAAGTGCGTAAGAACTGCCCAGGAGAGGTCATTGGGAAGAAGAGACTCACATGCTCTTGGATTGCTGGCTTGTAGATATTACGTTCAAATAAAAATATCGCATAGGATAAGGAAGGAAGGGCCTTCTGTTCTCAGGCAGTTTTCACTCACGTTCCTCTTGATCCTATGCCTTTTTGTTTTCCTTCATGTGTGTTATAACACATACATGTGCTTGTCCTTTTTTAAAAAACTGACACTGCGTTGGGTCCACTGCTGTCTGGTGGCTAAAAAATAAGCCAAGGTAAATGAAAGGTGTAAACAGGTGATGAAGAAAACGTATCTTATATATAACAAATAATATAATTATTTATAATTTTCATAGTTCATTTAATTATTTTTAGCAGATGATGGAGGAGAAATAACAGAGACTTTCATTGCCTGTTAGATTCTGGAATCAAGCCTATTTTTTTCCTGAGCTCAGGGTGGGGGCCGCGGTGCGGGGAGGGGTAAGAATATTTTGAATTGGTAATATAGCTCTGAAGACCCAATAATTCTATAAATGGCTTTCTTATCTCAGATCAATTTATGTTTTACCCTTGCAGAATATCTTGTGAGATTAGGTTTCATAATAAAGGTATGGAAAATGAGGGAAAATTCTCAAGGCAATTTCTGCTGAATATCTTTGCCCCCTTTCCTGCAAAACGTGTAAGGTTTTTTGAAACATCATAGCTGAAGCAGATTTCCACTTAAAAAAAAGTGGGAAGATCATCATAAAGATCATCTGTAATGTGTGAGGATATTCCTCTTTGCTTTTCTCAGTTACACATGGTGCAAAATAAGATTTCTTTACATATTAAAATTTATTCATTTATTACTTTGTGGATTAAATAGTTTTGAAGGGCATTTTTTCAATATGCTTTGTTGTTGAAATCACCTGTTAAAAGAAAGATTTATTTTTAACCACTGAATGACTATTTTATATTCATTCTCCTGAGATAAAATTACATGTAATTATGGCACACTAGTTTTACCAGTTGATAAACTAGAGAAGATAAAAGCCAGGTGTATATATAGTGACCAGCTTATGAAATTAAATTGTCCTGTCTGTTAATTTTTCACACTGCTATAGCAGATACTACTTGGTGCACCTTTTGTAGCAGTGAAAATCCTCTGGTCAAGTAATTTGCATTTTTTTTCTTCTGAATTTCCTAGGTATGTATGTATGTATGAGATTTAATGCATATCTATTATATTCTGTGCACTCCCTGATGTTTTGACTTTAGGTGCTGTCACTTGACAATCCCAGAACTGAACCACCAATTAAACTTAAAAATGTTTCAGTAGAATGATGTTGAGCTGTTCAAACTTTGTCACTTGCATTAGAATGGAAGGAAACTTTGCTTTCAGACACAAAGTTTGAATATTATAATTATTTATAGATTTCAAAGTACCACACGTGACAGGATATTTCCTTATTTAGAGCCCAGCATTTTTGCTTTCAACTAAAGCTCTCCAAAACTGAGGAGGACATAGCACCCACTAGTTCCAAAAGGATTTTTATTGCAACAACTAATTTTGGTTCATCCGTTTGTGAAAAAGAAGAAAGGAACGAAACACTCAAAATGACTTTTTCTACATTCTTAGTTTTCCTCTTTTTCATTCATACTGCTTTTCAGACACTGGGTGAGTCTTTGTTCTTTATCCTCTGCAAAAGTGGATGTGAAAGTCAGCATTTTTGTTCCCTTGTTCGTTCTCAGGCGCTTTAAGATTTTCCTGCTGGTTGACCATTCTGCATTTCATATTTACCCTAATTGGAGTAATTTATAGAAGCTTAAAGAAGATGTAGATACAGAGTTATTGGTTCACTTTCAGAGAGAGGGGAAGAATCAGGATAGGGCAAATCAGGGAATCAGAAATCAGGAGAGAGTGATGTATGGCAGTAGAGATTTCCCTTAGGATACTATTTAATTACTGGTTAAGCCTGTTCTGTGAAAGAGATGCTCTTTGCAGCATGCTCCGTACTGCTTGTCCGTATGATGTGATTGTGGTTATGAAAAAAAGAAAAAGAGTAAAGAATAAAATAGATTGTTGTATGTGTATCTCCTACCCTTAGGATGAGGTTGTGATAGATGAGATGGAGCTTGTGGATCAATGTGAGATGTCATACTGTGGCTGAGCAGATGCCAGTGAAAATTTTTTAAAAATCACGGAATCAAGAATGGCCCAAGAATAATCACTAGAGCCTTTAGAGTATGGATGTGAGGGAGCCTTTAGCGAATGGATGTGAGGCACAGCTAAGGCTCTAAAGTTGACCAGGAACTCTACAGACGGATCATGGCTGGCCCTCCCTTTTGATGTTAGGATGGTGTTAAGGTTAAAGGACATCTTTCCTGTATCCTTCATTATTTTTGTGGAGGAGATAGGTACTAATCGTAGCTTCTGAAGGCAGATACTGTTTCCTATGAGCTGTGCCGGTAGCCATTGGAAAGAGCACCTTCAGAGCTGGGTCTGTGCTCTGCTCTGCAAGCTGCAACCCAAATGAAGGCACACATTAGTCAAACTGTGAACCTCACTGTTCCCTCACAGTTGCTTTTATTAGACCCAATAATATTCTGAAAGACTGAAATTAGGGGCAATACACTCAGCACTTAATTAGCAAGCAGTAAGAACTAAACGATCCAACAAGATTTAAAACTTACTGTCTAAATGGACAAGGAGAGAAAAAAATTATGCATTATTTCCAAATTTAGATTTGAAGAACTGAAACTTGCATAGATTTACTAAGCTGGTCAAAATTACACAGAACCATTTTTGGTAGCGCTACATGTTAAATCCAGATATCTGAAATCCTGGGTCCCATGTCCAGAGACTTGGTTACAAGAACTATTTTTCCTGTCACAATTTCATTAATCTGAATTTCTCAGACTCTTTCTACTGTGTTCACTGTTCAACAGAGAATATGTCCTAACATCCAACCCTTATCTTAGGAATTTATTTTAGTGTTTGGAACTATACTTCTTTGTGGTCTCACAGTCCCTTATGCGTTTATTCTCTGGGTAAGGATATGGGGTGATGCTACACTATGTATTCACAGATGGGAAGTCGAAGCTGAAGTGCAGAAACTTGCCCTCCATTCTCACAGGTCCGATAATGTTCAACTATAGTCCGAATCTCACTCCCTCTTGAGCCAAAGTCAGTGGGAGCTCTACATTATTCAACATTTTGAAAAGCAGGCAGTTCTGTTCATAGACCAATGCCCAGCACTGAACGAACAGCTTTACACACCAGCAGGAGTAAAGCTGCATTAATGTGCAATCCTTCTCAGCAGGACTGACTTGTCTTCTTTTGAGTGCTATATTAAGCTGTCTATAAAACTTTAGATGTGTTAGTTAGCTTGTTTAGCATTAGCATATCTCTTTTTCCTTAGGAAGACACTGGCATACAGAGACTTACCAATAATACTTTTACCCCCAAATGTTCCCTGATGTTGGTTCTTGTGAGAATTTGTTTGGGGTTTGATTATATAAATTATACTCACTCCTTTTGAAAGATGCACTAATGAGAAGATACCGGAACAGGGCATGATAACAACTTATTGTTTAATAGTTTTTCGTCTTAAAAAATAAATAACAGAACATGACAAGTACTGAAGGAGAAAGGGTCTTCTGAAGGAGAAGGCTCACTCATTACTTGTTTTAAGCTCACGTGCAATCCAGTGGAGACATATATAAGACAAGCAAAATGAAGTGTATAAAGTAATGTTAAATTTTGAATATTCAGTGCAGTCTTTTGAAAACTTTCTTAGAAGAAATATATATTTCAGGAGGGATTTGGAAAAAGAAAATCCATGATATTTATGAAAATTCCATTATCCTGATGACATTTTTTGAAACTATATCGTAATATATTTTGTGTGCTATTATCTTCTGAATTGTATTTATAATAGCCACACCGATTTTTCCTTTCCAGAAGGAAATAAAACTCTTGAAAATGCAGTCTGCTCCTTGTGAAAGTCATTCAGACCTATAGTCTCCTGATACGAGTATAAAGATCAGCAACGCAACACATCTCTCTGCTTACAAGCCCCCCTCCACCATTTTTTTCAGCATTAGTACATTAATTCTGACTATTTTGTTTTACAGGCAATGAAATCTTTTTAATATACAATGAGGACAGTAAGCACTGTATAATTGCTAAGAGTTCTCATGCAGTCACAACAGCTGCTTGCCAAAAAAACAGTGTGTTACAAAAATTCAAGTGGGTATCTGATCACCAGGTGATGAGTGTGGCATTTGCGCAATGTTTGGGAGTGCCCTCTAAGCAAGACCAGGCCAAAATTTCTTTATACCCTTGCAACAAGAAAAGCGAGTTCCAAAAATGGGACTGCAGAAATGCGACCTTGGCAATCCCAGGGGAAGATTTGTTTCTCAGTGCTGGCAAAAGAAAAGAAGACAATATTGTGCTGGACACAGAATCAGGAACAATGAATAAATGGAAGATCTATGAAACCATGGGTGACTTGTGTTCTGAAGGCCATGAAGGTAAAGTCCGAAGATTAATCTTGGTAGTCTCTTGTACTCGTTTGCCATCATGGCTGGGGCCCTTTGATTTCTGTTTCCCTTAGTCTAACTTCAGCTGTTCCCCTTGACCCAATGGTGGGTTGGAGGATGGTTAGTTCATATACTCAGGCCTTCATTCCTCCATCCTGAAGATACAAAGGTGCTTTGCTTCAGAGAGAATGTAGTATGTTGAAAAAAAATCGCAATTCTTACATTTTCCTTTGAAACAAAGGCAGATCTAGGCTATTTTTAATCGTTACCTTTAAGCTAAGTGCTTTAGCCTATTTAGCTGATGAATATGTGCAAATATAATTGTATTATCATTGTTGGATGAAAGGCAACAGCCTTCAACTTTAATGCCCCGTAGCCCCAAATGTAAGGAAGTAATTCCAAGAACAAGGCCATTCAGTTCCTCTATGAGAACTCAGATGCAAAAAAAAAAAAAAGCATTTAAAAATTAAATCAATGATCTTTTTCATGAATGACTGAAAGTTAAGCCACGGGAAGAACAAAATAGTGCTATTTAGAGAAAACTATTTCTAAACATACGAGGCGAAAAACACTACACTTTTCTTCTAATTCTTGACTATTACATAAAATTGCTCTATTTCTAGCTGCTATAGCTGGTGATACCATATGGAAACGGTAAATTACAAGATTTACCTTGAATTTCCTTGGATAACTCTGCTAGTGACAGTGGGTCACCAGTTACCATGAATGTAACATTTTCTCCAGTTACTTCTAAGGAGTGTACAAATATGTAGACAATTGGGTCTCCCACACTCCTGTGTCTGTGTTCGCATTTCTGTTTTGTCCCCTCAGATCTGTTTACACTGCTAGGAAATGCCAATGGAGCGCCGTGCACCTTCCCTTTCAAGCTGAGTGGTAAATGGTACGCGGAGTGCACAAACGCTGGCAGGTCGGATGGCTTGCTCTGGTGTGCAACAACCCCTGACTTCGACTCAGACCATATGTATGGGCTCTGTCCATCTGACAGTAAGTCCTGAATGCTGCTATAGATGCTCTAACAAAATATTGTTCGATTAATACATCAATATTGAGATGCTGCTGCTAGTATTAGCAGGGAAAGCCCTTGCAATGATTTTTTTTACACAAAAATGTGTCTTTACCAAGCCATAATATTCCTTACATAGGAAACAAAAAAAGTTTCCCCTATTGAGTCTCCAGTCAAACTAAAAGTTGCCTGGGTTGTCCATCAGAAGGTCACAGCCAGGAAAAGGCCACTAGACTTTAAATGTGACTGCAGTCAGCATAAAGTCATCTGAAAAGCAAGATGCTACTCTAATCTCCCTGCCTCATTGCTATTTCTGGTAAGAGTTGTGTATCCTTTTCTACCTATGCAAATCCCTGTTCTAGATCACAAAACTGGCCTATACCCTGCGGGAGAATATAGTTTGTCTTCTGAAAGGGATAAAAGAAGGAGAAGATTGGCTCAAAGGTCTTACTGGAATAGCGGTATAATTAGCCTTTCCCTTGTAATGTTTCCCAAAGAGCATATGGCTTTCCATCATCCTGCTTCACGCTGTACTGAAAGCCACCAGATAAATGTATGTGCACCTGAGGGCAGAATGAAGGACACCAAAGTCTGGTGTGACTGAAGATAATGAAAAAGCTATCTCAGATCTAATTTTTCAGTG